TGTTCGGGCCCGGGCCAGATTGGATTACGGGAACAATTTGATATAATTTTTATATACCCGATACGCATGCGTTGATGGCGTACCGAGCTGCTTCTTCGCGGTGTACGGTGAAAACCAGCAATTAACGTTTGAACCACCGGACGGCGTTTGTCCGAAACAAAAATTATACCATTACAATCCGTCCGCGCGTGCGTTTCGGTCGCATAATTTTCCGAGGCGGAGTTCAATGCGGTGGTTTCGTACCGAACGCGCGGGGTTTTAGGGGGCATATGCGCGCATGTTTGTAAAACGTCATGTAATTTTTCGGTTCGAAAACAAATTGCTTCCGGTAATTACGATGTACACGTTCGTTGCGTGCGACTCGCGTTAACGCTAAAATTATGTGTGAAAATCGTTGCGTATTATATAAAAAAAAAAAAAAAAAAAAATCAAAATCACCACCGTGTTTCAGTCGAAAGCTATTACGAACCGTTTACCGCGTACCAGGTATAAAATCCGTCGTACAACGTCCGTTGACGGCGATCGTACGCGGCGGCGGCTCGTGGGGTTCGTTGAAAGTGGGGCACAAATATTTTCCTCTTTTTTTTTTTTTTTTGATCTTGTACGCGTACGTAAATTTAGCGTTTAGACGAGCCAAATCATTTATTCAGTCTTGTGGCCAATTCTTATCACCAGAAGTACGGCGAACAAGTATACGAGGAAAACGAAACAAACGGTTCGTTTTACCATAGAACAACCACACGTAGCCCAATCATGTTTCGACATCTTTGTTACTTTTAAATTCTCTAGACTTTTTTTTTTTCTTTTTTTTTTTGATTTTGTATTATATTCAAATTTGGCTTTGGCCCACCTTCTTTTGTTATTTGAACGTATTTCTCAAGAGGTAAACTTAAACAGTTGATACTAAGTAAATGCTCGACCGTAACGTTCTTCTTATTTCTTTCATATTTGCAGGTAGGGCACGTGCCCGTGCGCCACATACACGAGCCGCCACTGATCGTACGGCAGTATTTATTCGTTTCCCAAATGCACCGAACGCAAATGATTTACAGTGAGCACAAGCGTATTGTTGTGGGCAAGGCGCGCACGTACTAAAAAAAATTCACAATTTATATAATTTCGCGCTTGATCGCGGTCAAGTGGTTTTGATCGATTACCGTGCGGTTAAACGTACAAATACAACACGTGCATGCGCAATGTTGTAACATTATTTATTGTGTACGTATTTCTTGTCGTGTATTCGGGTATAATTTGAACAATAACAATATAATGTACCATATTATAATGATCAATCCGTTATTCATATGTATATAATAATTATAATAGGTAAATTCGCAATGAGTTAAATATATGTGTATTCATACTTCATACAAAATGTTATAATTTTTCTAATAACCAATTTTAAGAATTACAATTTCGATTTTACCGTTTTTTCAACATTAAATTTCGTTTATTTCTAATAAAATACGCTTCACTGCACATGCGGAACTGTATTATAGATTTTCTGGGACTGTATGAGCAAAACATAATAATAGTTATACGGCAATAATTATTTTATGAAATAAAGAAAAATAGAATAAAAATTAAAAATTATTAAAGGGTTAACACTCGTAAATTAACATATGTATAAATATTTGTTATACTTGAAGTATCAATAGTTACGTATAATAATTATTTTCTTTTTTTTTTATTGGAAAACTTTTGTATATATTCATACTATTTTTTCTGCTGTGCAACTCTGCGAGCTTCATGTTCGAACGAAATACTTAACATGTTCGATTTTTTATAATAATTAGCACTTGAAAAACATAATGAAAAGCATTTTATAAAATTCAAATGATTTGAATTGAACTGAAATACATATACATTATAAATGTGAAATATATAGTCATAATTTGGTGATTTTTGATGAACTGGTCATTTGAAGATAATAATTATCATATCATCATATTGTTTTCGACGATCGAATTATAATTGAACGATATTTTATATTTCAATTGTAACCTTCAGTTGTTTTCCATATAGATACAAAACAATTTAGTTATAATAACAATAATAATAATAATATGATTTATAACGACGGTCATGGTAGAGTACAGTATTTTAATAATTTAATTGTTCTGGAATAATAATGTCGACGACATTGTTATGTAGTTTTCGTCTGGGAGCAGTATTGTCATCACTAGAGAAGGAGGAAAAATTAAAATTTTAATAGAAATCCGGCGTGGCGACGATAAGCGGAATAGATAGGTGAACCCAGACAATATTATATCGAAATCTCGCCTACTCCGACTGTATGTTTAATTTATAACAAACTCATTGTCCAATTGTATATTCTAATGAAGCTGTTAACACACACACGCGCGCACACGTACATACGTATACAAATATATTAACGTGTATAATATATTTACTCACGTACACAGACATATAAATGTACGTGTATATATATACATCAATAATGCACATAGGGGAAGGAACAAACATATTGGACTCTCGCAGGCCCCCGTCTCGTTGTAATATATTCCAAACGAGTTTCAAAAATAAATTTATTTGACACCGCCGTGGAATATTTTATCACTGTTGGCTTTCAAATTAGAGTGGGTACAATGTTATCAGGCGCAATGATTTTCGGTAGACCCCATGCCGGGTCGTCTTCATGACACAATCCTTATACGCGCTCCTGACGTCCGATTATCTCAACAACCATTAATAACGATTTTATGCAACCGTGTTTTGGTATCAGCCGTCGGAAATCGGTGTTATAAAAGCGAAATAATACAAACAACACACGACTATCGTACACTCGTCAAACCGACCAAATTGGTTTGTTCCAACGAATGCCGTTTGAATAATGGTTTTTTTTTTTTCTCGTCCTTTCCACAGGTCCAGACATACCGGGATTCCTGTTACAACCGTTCAGAAAACCTAAGAGAATAAGGACGGCGTTCAGTCCGAGCCAACTGCTCAAACTGGAACACGCCTTCGAGAAAAACCATTACGTCGTCGGCGCCGAACGGAAACAGTTGGCTCAATCGCTGAGTCTCACCGAAACTCAGGTGAGTGGCCGCACGCATCAATATAGGTGATCGTTTTACAACGCCGTTTGAAAACGCAACGGATGTCGTCGACGAGCATGTTCATGCGCCGTCGTAGAACTTAGAATTAACTTAGAAATGAACTTGGAATTCAACCGGCGACCGAAGTCCGTCTAAATTCGACGTGCAGGACTCGCACGTACCGGACACGTTTTACGTTTCGATGAGAATCGCGGTTTACGAAATCTATGGGCGCGCGTACCTCATGACGCTCGGGCAAAACGTACAGAACTGTTATCGGGCAATTCAACAATCGTAAATCATAACGTTTAATGTGCGCATGATAATTTTCTAAACGCCGCCGCCGGTAATCGAAACGCGTCGATCGAAGTGCAATTTTTTATATTTTTCACGGGCAAACAGTGTACGTTACACACCGGGGTAACGCTGCTGTACCCGTAACGTATTTTACGAACATTTTTTTCGCGGACGTACATGATACGTGGCGTTCTTCGAGCGTTTTTCGTTAGATACCTTGTTTTTAATTTTTCAATTATGAACATTGTACACATCATACGCCGTAAGATCAATTTCCCTCGGCCACGTGCACCTACGATGTGCACGAAACGCCTGTATAATCGGATTGCATCCGTCAGTGACTTTATGGGTGGTTATTATTTTTTTGACGTTAAGCGCATACAACGGAGATAGTGTTTTGATACCGCTTTGACGTCGGTGGTTCATTGTATGTTGTCAACGCAGCGACGATGACGCGAATTAAATGTATATTATTTTCGTTTATAAAACGTTCAATAAAAAAAAAAAAAAAAAAATTCTTCGCCTAGAAGTTTGGGCATTAAAACATACATGTATAAGTGTATGTGTTCTTTTACATAATAGCATTATGCCGACAACGACGGATCCCAGTTAACCTTTTGAAAGGATTAAATGTGACGGATATTATTTTGATGGGAGTCGGATTAAACGGGTACCTACTTGCTATAATCGTGCAGTATATGGGGACGAAAGGAAAACATAATGGCCGCCGTTCTTGTTGTTCGATGAGAGGGGTGTTAAAGAGCGTTGTTAAATAACGGTTTAAATAAAACTCTTTTCTAGAAGCGTAAATGTGTTTTTAATCATTTCTTGGCGGCTACATAAGACCTTGTTACGGCGTTTACGTACAATGCACATGGACCCATAACGCATAATGCAATCGTGTAATTTATCGTCCGTGTATTAAACCTAATACGTATGCGTGCAAAAATCGACACGTTATTATCGCGTTATTATCGTCTGCAATTAAACGGAATGATATTTTCTATCTCTATTTAATATTCCACAACGTGGTTACATAAAGTTAGAGAATCTTTTCCTCATAACCATGTGTCATAATGAAAGAGTACATTTCCTAATTAAATGTGTACTGGCTCTTATGTAGTAATCTCTAGTAATCACGCGTAATTATTGCAGCATATTTTCGGTATTTTGAAATTTTTATCAAGCAATTGACATTTCGTGACAGTTATTGATTGATTGATTGATTGTTATAAATGCGTTCTAAACATTATGGGAAAAAAAGCATTACTACCACATCAGTTATAGGTTAGATTAAATAATGTGATTTAGAACAGACCTTCAACGATAAATTATTATATGATATTTATAATGTGTAAGTAAAAATTTTACTTATATTTAATATAAAAACACCATCCTAAAAAAATGTTTTATAAATTAAAATTTTAGTACGAGTGAATGCTATTATAATGGTGGAATATTACCAGGAGATCACTTCTCGGGTCAATGTTTAGTGCATTATGCGTTAAAAAGGTTTTATTGTACAAAACGTGTGCATATGGATAATATGATTTCTTAACCTTTCATCATTGTAATATTATATCCGTCGACTCTTTCATAACGTACCTACACCATTTTAAATCATATTAATAAATACTGGTATTGTTCGTTCGTAAATAGCATAAATTATACAAACGTAATATGATACATGCAGTTTTTTTTTAATGTTTGACTTCTATGGTATACATTCGTTCAGCTTATTGTGTTTATACGCATCATTCGAATACATTATGACATAGTTAACACCCCGTTCGCGCGACCATTATGGCGAGAAAAAGACTATCAGGAAAAAAAAAGCTCCCGCTCTTCACTATCGTCCCCTCTTCTGTATCATCCCATTGGATTGTCTTCCTCGTATAAAATAACACTCGTGTAAATTAGTTGTTATTCTTTTATTTATTTTTTTTTTCTCGCTGCGGGAACGCACGCACGTATAATATGGTCGTGTATATAAACGCGTACTTATGCGGTACGTCTGGATCGCGTACAACGAGAGGGATATTTCGTCGAGTACCCTTTGGGGACCGTTTCGACCAATGGTAGCTACACGTGATCGAGAAGGGTGGCGGCGTACTATGTGCACCCCAAAACGGTAGTCGTCGCGAGGGAAAATTATAATAATAAGAGGCGTCGTTAAATTTTTTTGCTACACACATACATGTATATATGTGTTATATAATCGACGGCCAAACGGCGTTTTATTAACGTGATACGATTTCTCTCTCTCTCGCACTGAGTGTTTCCATCCCAAAGGATATCGCGACCGCCGCACACAATATCGTGCGTCAATTTGTGTTACGTTTTTACGCTTAATGTTTTATTTTACACCCCGATCGTGTCACTCGTACGTTATTCCGAACGCAGTTTACGGCGCAAATCGGCATGGTTAAAATTAAACCGCGTTTTCGCGTTTGCATGTACGCGCGCGCGCGTATGCACAATGGACGCAATTAAAAACAATCGGCTGCAAATATTGCATTATATTATTGTAGTTATTATGTTATATTGTTTAACGGAACGTATACGAATATATAATATATATATATTCGTAGTTTATAAACTCGACCGGAATCGAATACTCCATACTCCAGCGAATGTGTTACGGTGCACGTTATTTTGGCATTGATTTTAGTCGGGGTCCGCGTACGCGCAAAATTATACATTGTTGTAACATAATTACATTATGAACAGAATTTATGACTCGCGTGCACATCGACAATACGAATCGGGGCTTTTTTTCTCTTATTTTTCTTTTTTTTTTTTTTTCCACCAAATGTGTTTTTACATTTATTACCGTCGACGGCTTAATATTCGTTGCATTGTAGTGCTACACGCGCGCGCATAAATTTACGGACGATTATGTCGTTTTTCGGTATTTTATTCGCAAACAGTCGCTGCTAATGAATAAGAACCGAACGCGGATGATAATAATAATAATATACTCATCTAACCAGTTTGCGGTTCGCGTACACTTTTTACGTTTGGATTAGACGTCTCGCGTGCCTATTCTGATCTTTATCGAAATTAACCGTTCAAAATATATGTGCCGTCGGGACCGTCTTCGCGCAAATTTATATCTTCATCGTTACCTATCACTACGATCATTTTTTAGCGGAACCAGTAGAGGTGTAGTACGCACAAACACGATGCGCTGTTTTCTCTAAACGCCATGGACAAAAAAAATTGAAAAAAAAAAAAAAATGTCTAAACGTATTTCCCGTGACGGTTCAGTATTATACTTCGATAATCAATCAATCGATGGTTCGCGTTCGATTACGCAAGTAACACAGAAACACATTTAGAGATTTTACATAACATGTCGTTCAACGTAAATAAGATAATGGAGTATATATACTCCATGAACTTATAAGTTCAGTTAACGCGCATCGATTGCTCGCACATTCGTCCGCATTCAGGGCCGTATTAGCGCATAGGCACTGCGTCTAGGGCCTACGAACATTTTTCAGCCTACGAAAATGTGTGGCTACCATTTACTCGTATATTATGCAAATCGATAAAAAAAAAATTTTTTTTATGGTTTTTGACGATTTATATTATACATGTTTTGGATTAAAATGATTTTTTTTTTTAACATTTGTTAAAACTTTTATCGTATAAAAATGTATAATAGTTGTCGTATAAAAGTTTAGATTTGATTTTTATTTTGTAAATTTTTAAAAGCTTAACACTGCATGAGATTCAACACTTCCTTTCCCAAAGAGAAGGTTTCTTAACCATTTAAATACTGGACAACGGCCTTGCAAGGACTAGGGGCCTAGGGCCTACGATAGTGTTAATCCGGGACTGTCCGCATTGTTCGTCGAAAATAATCATAACCTCTTCACCGTAAAACGACCGATGAAACGCGTTCGTGTGGTCTGCACACGTACATTACGTTTTACGCGGTCTGATTAGTTTTCCCGCGCGCCAAACTGCAAACACATGTGTTGTACTCTATTATTTAACGCACGCGCATAAGACACGTTCGACAATGATTAATCATAAGTTGTCCGCGCACGGCGTACCTAAACGCATAAACATGCAAAACACGGTTCGGTGAGTACGGTTCCGGGTCAGTCGCGACACGTACAGCGGCCATTTTGAACTCGTGGTCGAGCGGGAAAGCTTCCAGAAGCGTGTAGATCAGTGATCGAACACGACGCACCCCGTACCCGTACGGTAATATATTGGGTCCGCGACGGGGGTGGAATTGTGAGAGACGGCGAGAGAGAGTGCATTTTATCCGCGTTGTTCTATGCCGAACGGTTTACGCGTTACGTGACGTATAATGTACACATCACAATAAGAATGATATATAACGATGATTTCGTGACAACGGAATAATGACAATACACGGTTGTGCGCGTAAAACGTTCCCCGGGGGCGCGACGACGACGACGACGTTTAATGTAGTGGAAAACAGAGCTTGTTTTCGGATAATGAGATAACTAACTACTAACTACTAACCGGGCGGCGGCGGAGGAGGATGTGCTACGGACTCCCCTCGGGCGCGCGGGCGCCGCTTAAAATACACGCGCGCGTATATAAACAGGACTGGAGGGGTGAGTTATTGCCGACCGACACGAGTCGTTCGATTAAAACGCGTACGTATATATTTGTTTATTACGCATATTTTATGCCATTGTGTACGGGATCCAGCGTCTCCGCAAAAGTGTACCGGGTGGTTTTCAAGTACAATACGAGAGTAATGGTTACGCGCGCGCGATCCCTAATTTTCCGACCCCGGTGCACGCGTGTGCATCTGCGATCGATCCGAACGGTTTCCGCGTGGACACGCGAAAGTTACGTTATTGCTGTTCGCCTCCGGTCCCCATGCGCGCGCGCCAATGTTTGAATATTACATATATTATTGTACGTATGCAAAACCGTGTGGAAAAATCCTTCGCAAACACACCGGTCGTCAAAACTTAATGAGAAAACGTGTTGCTCGCCGGTTTTCCCGTAAATCCCGTTTTTTTTTTTTTTTTTATTTATTTATATTTGCGCGTCGTACTTTTATGTAGATTTATCGTTCGCGTATAAACACGTACGCGGCGCAGGCGAATGATTATGTGGATTTAGCGAGCTATCGTCGCGTAACAACATTATAACAAAACAAAATGCAGATCAATGAAACGAAACGCAAACAGTAATAATAGTTTTCGTTTTGGTCCCGGTAAAACGCACGTGGTTCGCACCTCTACGCGTTATGCTCGCTACTCGCGCGGAAGTTTATCACATAAAACATTATTATTGTTATTATTATTATTATTATTATTATTATTGTCGTGATCCGAATATTAGGCGCTTTTCGCGCGTCCTCAACGGGCCATTTAACGGATTGTTACGATCGTTTCGTCGCAGCGTTCCGCGATCCGGTATTGTGTCGTCTCGAGCGATCGTCATGAATCCGGAGGAAGTAAAATAAATAATAATAATAATGCCCAGGAACACTTGAATGCATGTGTACGCGTGCGTATACGTGTGGGGTGGGCAATGGGGGTCGGAGTGAACCGATTCAGAAATGTTTTCTTCGTTTTATACGTATATATATATATATATATATCGCTCGGCAGTTTCTGCAAGCGGTGCTCATGTCCTGCTCAGAAAAAGGAAATTGCCATTGTTAGCCGTTTCTTTTCGCATCATGCGACCCAAAATGACGTGTATTTATCATCGTTGTTGTCGTCATCGTCGTCGTCACGCCGAATAATTCGCGAGATTTATACATAAAAAGTTGAATTATGAGGGGGTATCAATTGTTGCTCGGGATGGAAAAATTCCGATTTTATTTTTGATAGATGCCAAACAATGTATTTTGCATAAAAATAAGAACCGAGGAAAATGTACCGTCTGAGTGAACGTTTTAGACTTTTAACTAAAAGTAAATATACTGCGATGTATTCAAGTAATTTAGGCGCATTGGATTCGCAGTAAACTGTGTGATACAATATGATTAAAGAGGCGATATTTATAATCATGTATTATTAAATTATCGATTGTTAAAAAGTTGAATCATCTTTTTTTTTGCAAGCAGAGAATCTAAAGTAAAAAAATTAATTTCTAAATAGACTTATTTATAGTTGCATAAGTTGTGTTGTGTTTGTGGTTTGAAAATCGAAGACAATTTTCCGAACGAGAATAATAAATATGTAAATGAATATCGTTAAATGCTGTAAAAAAAGTGATAAACATATATGAAGTGTGTGCACCAATAATTTATGTAAACCGTTAAAAAACTTTTTAGATGTCAAATCAGAATTTACGGAATGAGCGAATAATAATCTATATTATTATACATTATTTCATAATCGCTTTAACCGATTCTTAATCTATTTAGAATAAGAAAATTACTGCATAAGCAATTTATATATTACTCGGTTGATTACAACAAATAATAATAAAAATAAAACCATAAATCTTATGGTAAATTCTTAAATTGATAAGAACTTTTTTTTAAAATTTTTTTTACCGAAAACTATTGAACTGTAATCATTTATTAGAGTAAATTCTCTAGTTAAGTGCGTGTGTATAGTTCGTTAATTAACATTAAAAACAACCGTGTATATACGTGTCTTAATCGTTTCAACGGCCGCAGTGGACAATATTGATTACACTGGAATATTTTTGACCTCGAGCAGTTCATTTTATTTTTATTTCACAAAATTGATTTTTATGTGCTCATTTGGTTGCAACCAAAGTTTATCCCGGAACAACATTTACGCGAATACGAATCGCCGTAAGAGTTTTGGTGTGAGCGAAAGCCGTACACAAGCAACGCGGGGAAAACGCGGCGTACGGATGGGTCGAAAATAAAACAATAATAACAAAAATGATCAATTCGAACGGTTGCTGATGTGTACACTTGGTTGATGGGGGGTGGTATTCAACACGTAATTTATATATATATATCACTTAATAATACGATTTGCCACGCGGTGCGCGGATAACGTAAACGAGCAACGACAATGGAATATATACGGGTCTCGCGCGAACCTTTACACAGCCAGCAGCAGCAACCCCTTTGGCGATGAGTTCTCCTGTGGCTTACGAGCGCTCGCATACACCTATCTATTATTATGGCTGAGCAAATATTATTTTTCAATCGTTTTATAAATCGGCCATTTTCGTCGGCGTACAGGATGTGCAACGTGTGTATACGTGTGTGTTTGGCTCTCCCGTCGTACGCGCGATCCCTAGATGAAATTTTTTACGCGACGGTATTTTACGCGGAAATGAAATCGCCCCGGATCCGTATCCCGTCACGTACTGTTTGCAGATTAACCGGCAATCATCCCCCGAGTAAATAGCTCCCGGATCCCTCATTGCGCACCCGTTCCCTTTTTCGGCTCACTCACATTCGTCACACCTGCACGTGTACACGCGCGCAACGCGTCAATCGATCCGGACAATATTACATCCTCCGCCCGCGACTTCGAGCCTAACCTATACGCAATATTCATGCGAATAATTATGTTCGTGTTATCGCGGTACACGTGAGAGCGTAAAGGTGATTTGCCGGTGCGAAAACTTGTACGTACGTGTACCGATTTTTTTCACGTGACGAAAAGAAAACGGATGTCGCCACTACCATTTCATTTGATTTGCAATCGTACACTTTCATAAACCTTTGATTACGCGGCTATATTTTACGGTCCAAGCCCTTCAGTTGTCGTAAACGTATCTGTGTGTACACGCATAATATTACAACACGCTGAAAACGCGATACAATGTCTTCATTTAATGTAATTTACTGTAAGTACGCCCTCGCACGCGATCATACTCGCGGCGTTAATACGTTACACGTGTTCGACTGTATTATTTTAAGGTCTATATACATATACCTATTTATGGGAACGTTTACCTATTTACGCGCGCGCGCGCACGGTCAAGTGGTGTAGTATACGCGCGTTAAACGGTTCGGGTTTCTCGACGAGAATATTAAAGTACACTACAGAAATAAAATAAGAAAAAATGGTTTTTTTTTCTAACACTCGCGAACCCTAGCTATATATACGTGTCTGTGTAACGCGCGAGGCGTCCTACGGATAAAAACGTACCCGCGAATGTTGATTCGAAACGTCGAGAAAGTCAAACACCTGCGCGCGAACTTGTAATCCGATAAATACGTATATTGCACGTAAATAATAAGGCGCGCGCGTCATGTGCCAGTCTTTGAGTGCGGTCTGCCCGCAGTGCTCCGGCAGGTAGTACATACGCAGTAATATTGTAATACGGGTTTGTATCTCGTTTCGCGCTGCGAAAATAAAACATAAAATAAAAACACGCGATTTTCGTACCTTCAGTGGCGCACTGTGTTCCAACGGTTCCCGGCGATGGACCTGCGGGGGTACGTGCATCGATCCTAGGGGGTCCGCGGTCGTGTCCGAAGTGAAAACGTCGTGCACGCAGCCAACGTTGCAGGACGCGATCGCGAGGATGTAAAACAAATGCTTCACTCGTCTTCGATCGAAAGTCAATGCAACAACGAATGCGAACACCTTTTAAAATCGAATTGTAATGCACGGGTAGTCGCGAAGAAGGTGTTAAACCGAACAGACCGTCATATCGTTCACCGAGGATTTTGGTGTTATTATTACGAAAAGGCGCGTAAATCGGTCTAAAAAAAAAAATAATATTCATTTTTCTCATAAACATAAAAATAGGCGTCCTCGGTACAATCGAATTTCCGAGCAGGGGCCCGTGGCTTCACACGGATCGAGTTAGACTACTGCTGTTTTAGTGCAGCGTTTGCGATCGCATATCAACGTGTAATAACACTACTCAATCGCGCGTAAAACGTTCGGTCATTGTGCACGTCATTACGAGCGATCACAACTCCCCGACGATCGCCAACGATAAAAACAATAACAACGTCCCGCCTAGGTTTAGGGTGGTTTGCGCTAATTTTTTGACCGCGGCACGAGGGATGTTAAGTGGTACTACGTTTAGAGCATCGTCGCACGCGGACGGTGGAGAGAGGTTCAGGCTGTAGTTGCAATGTTTCCTCGAAAAATCGAAATGTTCAAAACCATAAAACCGTTAAACGCTATACGAGTGGGTACGCGAATAGTGCACAACGTTAATTACCGGTTAAAATATTACTCGATGACAATGTCGTGCGTTTTGACCGTGGTCCTTCTGACCTGCCGCGGATCTTTTACCGTCAAAGCGATCGGTGATGATAATAATCGTGCGTCGTCTGTTCGCAGGTCAAAGTGTGGTTCCAGAACAGGCGCACCAAACACAAGCGGATGCAGCAGGAAGAAGAGGCCAAAGTGCAGCAGCAACAGTCCGGCGGGGGCGGCGGCCCGAAGAACTCGCATCACGTGAACAAGTGGAAACAGGAGACGCAGAACAGCGGGTCGGACAGCGAAATGCACCACTACGGGGACGGTTCGCCGCAGTCGGTGCCGCACAGGGACGACGGGACGACGATGCACTACGACGGGTACAGTTCCGAAGCGGACAGCGACGTCTAGACGTCCGGACCACAAGACGAGACCGCGCGCGGCCACTGATCCCGCGGTAAGGGACGACCGAACCCTCCCGGACACCGGTAACCTGTACGGGCAAAGCCGCTCGATCGTTTCACCTCGTCGTGGACGTTCGCGCAGCGGTCCCTCCGGCGCACTCATCAATCCCACGACGACCGGACCGGCGATCGTTAACCGCGCGGTCCGTATTTCTATCATATTATTATTATTATTACTATTACCATTATATTATTATTATTATAATCATCTTCGTCATCATCATCCGCCGCCGTCGTCGTCGTTATGTTGTTTTGTAATCGCCGTTACAGTTCGTAACGGTTGTGAGTTGGTTTTCCGCGCAAAAGTGGACATCGTGGTCCGCTGTTTCTAGTCATTATTCACGTGGTTCACACGGAAATCGTATGTTTCGCGTTCAAAACATTTGTATAGTATATTTCGTACGTTGCTTTCGAACAACCGAAGTTGACCAACACATACGAGTTCTACGTATATATATATATATGTAAATATAGATGTACATAAACGTATTTTTTAGCGCATTCGTTACGCGATATGAACGTATTCGTACGCGTTTAATGTACGCTAAACTTGTGAGTTTTTTTTTTTTTTAATTATTATTATTATTATTGAATAATGTATAAAAGACTAATAAAATTGTATTCTCATCGTAGGACGCCTAGAGTGTAATGTATTATATATTTATATACAAACAACGTGTATTATTATTATTATTATTATTATTATTATTATTATTATTATTATTACTATTATTATTATTACTATTATTATTGTAACGGAAATAACCTCGAACCAGTTAAAAGTCTTTTGTACAAAATCCTTGTCCGTTCTATGCTCTTCAGAAGAGACCGACTATTACAATTATAAAATAAAAAAAAAAAATCAATAAATCGTTGGACAACTATGATTGTTATTAATTTAAAATCGTATTGTTTAACTTTGTTCGAAATAATAATAATAAAGAATGAAAAAAAAAACGGTTTCGTTAATTTGCTCACGACGTTTTTATTCCTTTACGTTTCGTTCCTGTTTACACCTAACTACATCACGATTTGATACAGGTACGTAATGAGCGTATAATATACCTAACCTGCTTAATGCTGCGACTGACGCGCATAAAACACGTGCTATGTATCAACAATTAAATTACGTAAAAATGGATCAGTAACCTTTGTGATCTGAGAGGTTGTATTTTTTTTTTCTGGCAAACGGTAGGAAAACAAGAAGTAGGTACACAGTACGTGGCCGATTGAACGGTCAAATGTACGGGTGATTTACACCGATTCAGTACGATAGAAGGACCCGGCTGAAGCGAGGAATCCATTCGATATCGGTGCCTCGCAGAGTGATGAGACTTGACGGGGGCGTGAGGTAATGAAATATGTCAACCGGAAGTAATAACGAAAATATTAATTAAAAAAAAAAAAAGGTTTTACTCGCATCAACGTTCCAAGAGAAGAGCTACAGTAACAATAGCGAGAAGATCGTAATAGTTCGTGTCGATGGACCGAAGAGAATCGCCAAGCGGATTTCTGCGGCGGTACTCACGAACGCGTGCGTTTTACGTCGGAATGTTTTTGTTCCGAACTCGTTTCGACGAAATTTGGACCCGCGAACGGAACATTACTACGAGGGGTGTACTCGTGTGCTCCTAACGTAACGGCTATGGGAGGTGGGTTTCGGGGTTTAGGTCTCGAAATTGAGTTGAACTATTTTCAATGCCTATTACGCAATTGAAAATTGGTAATTTGTTCCCGCCCAAAAAAAAAAAAAAATTATTTGCCGGCCTGGTGAGAACGTACACGATAAGAATGCTCGTAAGCTACCGTATGTCAACCCTGCCTGTCCGTTGTGCACGCATGCACTTCGTCGACGGTCTAGAGAGGAAACCACTGTTTTTCCGCCTTTACCCAAAGGGCTCGTGAGGTACGAGCCCGGGGCCCCCAGACCAATGGAGCCCCGACCGACGGAGGCTCCGAAAAATATAATGTACATCTTTACGTTGTAACGTATTGTTGAAACCCATATCGATTAAATATTCGACTGCAGGGTTATAATTTAAAAATAATATTAAATGATAATATATTCAACTCAAAATTTAAACGTTACCGTTGATACGTTTTTGAGCAACGGGGTAGGTCTAAAAATATCGTTTCGAATTCCAAATGTTTGTTATAACTTGAAAATCAGTAGGTAATGCGAAATAACAATCGTACTCATGTTTCTAAAAGGGCTCCCTGCTATAGCCCTGCAATAGCCAAAGACGGTTGTGGGAACACACCACTATAAAAGCCGATCCCTCGCGATCGCAACGTGTGACATTGTTCAGTTACTAATGTAACTAGAATTTGTCGAAACTTAGCCGATGGTGCGGTAACGTGGGGGTGTATTTGAGTCGAAATTAAATCGGTATTTTGAAATAAGCGTTAAAATAAAATTCGCCTAGGGCGCCGCGGAGTGTAGTTGCGGTACGGGGATCCGAACAGAACAGCATTTTGTGCATCAATATTTTGAAACTCATCGACTGTGACTCTACGACTGTAAAATAAAAATATCTTTACCAGATCCGATGTCCCACAAAAAAAAAAAAAAGAAAAAGAAAAAATATGTATCCTAAACACGTATTCCATTCGAAGAAGTGTTCGAAAGAATCGTATTGGACACTTAAACTCTTAACAAAAAACGTCACGATTGATTGTTCCGCAACGTTGCGCGTTAAACGGATGAGCACGACCAAACATGACCGTGTTCCCGAGCGTTCGCGGGACGCGCGATCGAAACGGAAAATCATGACGAATCGCATCCGTCCGAAGTGCAGTGTGCCCGACGCAGGGTGTGGTGCTGCGGTTGTAACGACAAATCGTAACGAAACAAATGTACGGTACAGATATACCTACTCGTATGTTATGCCGTTGATTATATAATACTCTAGTAGTAGTAATGGAACCGAGTCGGACAGTTTTATATACGATATTATAACGCAGTGCGCCCGCGATATGGGTACACGTTAAACATTGTAGTGCACAGCGGCTTATCCATGAGTGGTTAGGGGTTATAACCCTCCCTCCCCGCCCCTCAGAACATTTTTTATGTATGATTATTGTCAATTGATTATAATAAAAATACACGAAAATTCGAAAAAAAATGTAATGTTACGTTTTTTCTAACCATCCCTACAAAAAAAAAAAAAAAATTCTGGATGCGCCACTGGTAGTGCATACTATGAAATAAATGCAATCGTACACGGATGGCATTTAAACGCGTACACGTTTATATTTTTTTCGAACCAGAACTTTGCGAAAACAATACGAAGGAATCGCAACGTAGGTATGTGGTTGCGTGGACACGTGGAAAATAACCGAAAACATTCGTGAGACAGAAAACGTAGAACTATTTTTGTGAACTGCGATCGCAGTGACATAAAATTGTTTGATCAGCAACAATGATTATTAATCGTGTCGATCACGTATTGCACGTGATATAATTATGATTTATCGTGTGGTTCGAAACAGGACGATAATAATCTACGGTATTAATCCTCGTTCACACGGTGACGCTACAGCGTGACATACAGTGTCCCGACATTTAATGTCGCGTCAGTGTCGCCGTGCGAACAACGTGGTGTCTCAGTGCCGCATACCAAAAATGTTTCATATGCGACACCGTGACACAGTTAGTGTCGATATTATCATTATTATCATTATAACTCTATATGAATATTGAAGAGATGATAGTGAATCACCGGATGCTAAGTACCGAAGAACTACTTGCAATTGTATTGCTGCAGGAATAGCCGTTCACATAGTTGTACTTAGCCTTTGTATAATAGGATTAACCTAAAACAAAATTGCAAAATAAGTACTTTTTCGTGTTGTAATAATAAATTATTGTCTTACCTTTTGCAAGAGTTCATAGAACATGGCATAATCAACCCGAAGAAAGTTACAAAATGACCTGGGATATTTAAAATGCAACTCCTTTAGCAACGTGCCTGATGCACCTAAAGTATTGCTTCCACTTATCCATTTTCTAACCCAATATTCACGTTTTTCGATTCCAGGATAAGTGTTTGTTCAAAAACATCTGCAGCTGCGTTTAACATATGGTTATTGGCCATTTTTATTATATTCATATTAATACAATAATTTTATGACTGTGACCGCATCGGAGTTAAACAAAAACGAGTTAGATTAAACTAGGTATTAGTAGTGTAGTTACTGCATTGTGCGCGAGTGCTGCAATGCTGCGGCACTGGTGTGGACAGAACACGACGCTTGACACACCGTGGCATCAAACTTTGAACAGTGTCGCACAACTTGGTGTCACGGTGTTAATGACACTTAGTGTCACCGCGCGTGAACGAGCCTTTAGACTAATAAACGTGTAGGCAGTGATAAAAACGGGTGACACGCTTTAATGTGTAACCACGATACAGGCGTATATCGTGCGTCTACGATTAAGCATTATAACAATATTCGGGATACACTCGAAATAGTGGTCGACAGCTACGCGCGCGTACAAGGATGTATCACTGGAGGAATGTTCAGACCGACTCCCAACAGGACACGAGCGCTTCTTGCGTGATAAGGGGAGAGACGCGCCGGGGATTGTCGCCTGCGCGTGAACACGTGACGCAGGAAACCTGCTGACAGTCCAACGTATCCGTACGATCTGTGTTATCCGATACGGGCGTTCCGGGGTGATACGACGTCGTCCGACGCCGAAGACTGCCCGACGGATCCGATAATGGTTTGTAAGGCGTACAATACGTGTACCGTACTTGACCATGACCATACCTCCGATCGAACAGTCAAATAATCGACTCGGACCACTCGAAATGTAGATGTTGCGTTCGGAGACCGCTGTATCGGTGTGCGTAACTAACGGCTGGAACGGGGCCGTGTTCGACGTTTCGATTTTACGTCGGAAAAACGGGTTTTTCGACTCAAAACACCTGTGCATACGACGGTACGCACGACAACGAACGGGGGCGCGCGGTCGATTTGAATATCGTGTTGGTTATGGTAAGCGTGAGCGCGTAGGATAAGCTGTGCGTACACGCACGTAAACGCTCATAGCGTCCGGTACGTGTTCCGTTCGCCGGAGTCGAGTGCGTCCGCTGCTGCTTGTACGCGATCGGGTACGAAGACCGACCGGCGTTGTGTACGTCGCGTGTCGAGGACGAGATTTTGTACACCGGACTTTTTCCTTCTTCCTCTTTTACCTTTTTTTTTTCTTTCACGATTCGTCACCGCGCGCAAAACACGTCCGTCCGACGTGTTACGTCCGTCAAGAACGGTACCTACGACAACGTATTCGTCAATATCGTACGTACAACACGCGGTGTTTATAGACGGTTCAGATGTTTCACAATTGAGTGTCGAGATAAATAGGTCGACAAAAACGTTGCGCGCACTACTACACATGTATAGATGCCCTCGTGCGCAACACGCCAAGGCAATGTCGAGTACAGCATATCAATCGGCATGACTGTGAGTTGTAGTTTTTTTTTTTTTTTTTTTTTTTCAACGGGTAAGAAGTCGTGGAAATCATTATTACCGAATGCGTACGTTTGAGATATGTGTTTGAACACGATTCGTTAATATTGTTCCGTACGTTAGTACAATGCATATTGTGAGCCAACATCGCTCAAATGTATACGCATCGTGATGGGGAAGCGGTATGAAATTACTTTCGGCTACCTAAAGTCCGTTTGTGAAAATACACGATCGTAACGGTGGGAAACGTTGGCGACAGCATATTTCAGCTATTGTACATTTTTCTAGATCTTATAATAATATCTAATTTAAAACGTCGGATGTAAATACATGTATAATATTACCTATTCCGCTCCCTTTTTCTATAATTTTATTTCGCAATACGCTGCACGGAGTGGTGAAAAAGC